GTCTTGGGCATTGAGATAATGCGCCTAGTCTTTTTCCCAATGATCTTGGTGCATAAATAACGATTTTGACATGTTTTGATCAAAATCCACGTGGTCGCCAAAAATGCATCAAATTCATGTCTTGGGCATTGAGATAATGCGCCTAGTCTTTTCCCAACGATCTTGGTGCATAAATAACGATTTTGACATGTTTTGATCAAAATCCACGTGGTCGCCAAAAATGCATCAAATTTATGTCTTGGGCATTGAGATAATGCGCGTAGTCTTTTTCCCAACGCTCTTGGTGCATAAATAACGATTTTGACATGTTTTGATCAAAATCCACGTGGTCGCCAAAAATGCATCAAATTCATGTCTTGGGCATTGAGATAATGCGCCTAGTCTTTTCCCAACGATCTTGGTGCATAAATAACGATTTTGACATGTTTTGATCAAAATCCACGTGGTCGCCAAAAATGCATCAAATTCATGTCTTGGGCATTGAGATAATGCGCGTAGTCTTTTTCCCAACGATCTTGGTGCATAATTAACGATTTTGACATATTTTGATCAAAATCCATGTGGCCTCAGAAAAATAATTTAACATTTTTGAATCACACACATGCGGTTATCAAACGTGCACGTTATCAACTCTTTCAGCATCAAGATAATGCGTTTGAAAGCTTTTACAACTCTAAATTCATGTGTAAAGAATAATTTTGGGTACATTTTGCTCTAAAACTTTTGACCGAGACCACAGAGAAGAGTTATATTGAATTGTTACACATCTAAGAGTCATAGGGAATAAACCGATACAACGTAATATCGAAGGATCCTCAGTATTACCATCACTTATTGAACGATCATTGAATAACGATTTCGACATGTTTTGATCAAAATCCATGTGGTCCCTAAAAATGCATAATATTCATGCCTTGGGCATTAAGATAATGGCTCTTGGTCATTTTTCCAACCATCTTGGTGAATAAATAACGATTTTGACATGTTTTGATCAAATGCCACATGGTGGACAAAAATGATCAAATTCATGTTTTGATCATTGAGATAATGCTCTTGGTCTTTTTTCCAACGATCTAGGTGCATAAATAACGATTTTGACATATTTTGATCAAAATCTATGTGGTCGCCAGAAATAGATCAATTTCATGTTTTGGTCATTGAGATAATGCTCTTGGTCTTTTTCTCAACGATCTTGGTGCATAAATAACGATTTTGACATGTTTTGATCAAAATCCATGTGGCCGATAAAAATAGATCAAATTCATGTTTAGGTCATTGAGATAATGCTCTTGATCTTTTTCCCAACGATCTTGGTGCATAAATAACGATTTTGACATGTTTTGATCAAAATCCATGTGGTGACCAGAAATGCATCAAATTTGTGTCTTGAGCATTGAGATAATGCCTCAAGTCTTTTTCTCAACGATCTTGGTCCATAAATAACGATTTTGACATGTTTTGATCAAAATCCACGTGGTCGCCAAAAATGGATCAAATTCATATCTTGGGTATTGAGATAAAGCCCCTAGTCTTTTTCCCAATGATCTTGGTGCATAAATAACGATTTTGACATATTTTGATCAAAAAACCATGTGGCCTCAGAAAAATAATTTAACATTTTTTAATCACACACATGCGGTTATCAAATGTGCACGTGATATATTCTTTCAGCATCAAGATAATGCGTTTGAAAACCTTTAAAACTCCAAATTCATGTGTAAAAAATAATCTTGAGTACATTTTGCTCTAAAACTTTTGACCTAGACCACAGAGACGAGTTATATTGAATTGTTACACATCTAAGAGTCATAGGGAATAATCTAGCGAAAGTCCGAACTCGATACATGAGCTAGGGAATGAAATATTTTGATTTCTATTATATTGAGTCTGCAGTTTTTCCTGTTCCCGATTCACTTGAAGCCCTCTAACTTTTGTTCCTGTTGAACCAGCTTCCCGAAAATCAATAGCGACCGTCCTTAATGTGAACAAACTTTTGTTCCTGTTGAACCAGCCCGAAAATCAATACCTTAAAAGTACCCGTATACCAAATTTCAACACAATCGGCCACTTTTAAAAAGAGTTAGAGCGCACACGGACGGACGGACGGACGGACGGACGACAATACAAAACTATAAAGGATCTGAGGATCCTTAATAAATATGCTGATTTCATCAGAATAATGTGTATTGCTGGATTTTATTTCTATTTCTTAATGCGAGTAAATTATTTCCCAAAATTCTTACTCCAACTGAAGGGGGCGACTCTAATTGCTAGCAAAAAAAATTAAAATTACATGAAATAAGGAATCTACCTATGCGTTGTTATTAAACATTTAAAAAACTCTACTGAAATTCTAGAGCGAGTAACATAAATTGTTCGAATTTAATGCCTAGTAATCACATATTCATAATACATCGTGCCCAAGATACGGATGTCTATCATTAAGAAACCACAGAAGATACTACGATCGTCAAATTAGGGAAAAGTTTCGTAATTAAAGGGTTATTAGCGTACAGTAAAACAAACCAGAAAACCGAAATTTGGCGATTTTGTTTTCACTTTTCTCCGATGATGTTAAAAAACACTTTCACTTTGCCAGTTTTTAAACTCTACACGAGAGCGTTGAGAAATTTTCAATACAACGTTTCGTTCCGGAGAAATCATCAAGTTTATTATTTTATATGGTTGGTAAAAAAAGTACATAGGTACCTACTGTATTGAGTAGCATTGTTTATTATGAATACAATGATGTACGGTACAAAAAAAGAAAGGTTGAAAACCCTGTTGGTTTCACCAGGATGGTGCGCCCCCACACAACACCCTAGTAGTGAGCAGAAAAATAGAAACATTTATCTGATATTACCGCACGATTATGGCGTTGTGCGCGGATGCACCGTGCTGTTGGAACCAACAGTTTTTTTGTCTGTCATATAAAAAAAATATAGTTGATGATGATTTCTCCGAAGTGAAACGTTGTATTGAAAAAGCAGAAAAAATAATAACAAAATTAGGAAATTTAGTATTTTGTGCGGTTTTCGAGATCCCCGCATGACGGGCATCTTGATCTTGGCCACGGCGTATAAATTTATGAAGAAGTTTATAGCAAATTTAAATCATTAGATTTTTGCTGGGATTTGTGTAAAGTGCTAATTAAATATTATGGAAAAATATTTGTGCACAAACATTAATTTTCCCATTTTCTGTATTCTTACGCGGTTTCTGAATTTCGTGTGAACTACTACTATAATCAACAAATTTGTCACTTTATCTTCAAGGACTATCCCTTTCCAAAGGAATTAGAAATTACTCGAGAAATTATGAAATTAAATTACCTACATAATATAAACAAATGGTACCTAATTCAGATTAAATTTTTTGCAAACGTAAAACTGGACTTTTACCCTCGCATTTGCCTATTTGTGATGAATTATGTTACTTGATAACTATGAAACAGTCGTGCTTCGAAGGAGGAACCAAGGGGATCCTGGACCTTATCACAGCTGATCAGTTTTCGAGTCAGTTTTGTTAGCAAAAAGTGTATAACGTATAACTTGCCAATTTTTTTTTGTGTACAAGGACTCTTCCACACTCCCCAATAAATATATAACACTCGCTGTTTCGCGTAAGAAATTACTGATTTATTTTGTATTTAGGTATATCAACTGAATCAGCAACAATGCCGATAGTGCTAGATATAGTTGTAAGTGTTCCTTGTACTGCGTCTATACCTATTAACGCCAAGTAATTTACACCGATGGCACAGTGGATAAACCCTCGAGAGATTTCCCAAAAAATCCAACGTTTCGTATCGCAATCTGTCAGATTTACGATAAAAGATCACTGGTGCTGATGAACAAATGATAAACGCCTTTAGGTCTTTTAGGGCAAAAGAAGTTCGCCATGATTCCCACCTTGGTTCAAATATCTAATATAATATCATGACTTCTAAATACCATAAGAAAGGCGACTAATTCTTCCAGGGCATTTTTGCAAATGATTATCCGTCAGTTATAACACTATAAAATAGCGGAAAGTTCGTCGATGTTACTCTCAATGTATACATATCCCTCATCATCAGGTAATGCACAAAAAATCTCTCAAACAACTTCGGAATGATGTCCAAACTTGATCAAAATCGCGCTTCCACACAAAATTTTACGCTCTTTGCCAATTATTTTGATATAGAGCACTCATAAATCTATAAATTTTGTTGTTGTAAGCACAGCATGTCCTTCCAAAAGTTGGAATGTAATTCATTGACGGGACTACTTATCCCAAAGTTCAAAATCATCAATTATTAGAAAAGCGGGATCCATTTCGTCTGGCCCTGATGTTCCACATACGGTTTGTTAATTAACTTGATGACAAACATTACATGAAAATTGAAGCGCCCAAACAATTAATTCAATTAACCCAGCACGGGCCCCTATAGACGGCATTTCGTAAAAATGAACTGTATAGACATACTCGAAAAATGAAAACTACTTTAATTAATAATTCCATTTCGTATCTGATTAGGTATATCCACTTCACTGCCGCGATCCAAAGGTTCAGTCCCTCTGTAGACATTTCGGAACCCAAATTTTAGTCGGCGCGAATTGTAAACAACAAAAAGCGAGGCATTATAAAATCAAGGTTATCTAGTTTGAACATTGAAAGAGCATTTGGCGAATTGTGTAAAGTAATTAATGGAATAAGTAAATAAGTACAGTACATCTTTGTGGCATTCGCCACACATCGCGATGATTTTGTTAACTACGTTTGGGCACGCACGCACTAAAATGTGGGTGCTAGGGAGTGCGCCCTAATTTTTAATACCTAACGCCGGGACGTCACTTTTACAAGTGGTTGCAAGCCGTAAATCATAGATTTAATGGCGAGGTTACATGCAAATTCCATATTGTTCTAAAGTTAAACCGAAAGCCAAAGCATGCCAATGTTTGAAAAGTTAGAGAAGCTGCAAAGTTCTAGGCTAGCACAGGGTAAACATAAACATTTACCTAGCGTTTTGCCACCTGCAGCAACCAGGATTTGAACCACTGAAATTTGTTTGTCTGTGTATGTCACAATAAAATAAGTGTCGTCCGATGATTTTATTACACTTGATCACATAATCATTAATTATAAAACACTTGCTGGCATCTAAATAATCCGCTTTATGAATAATAACCATCGCATAAATACTTCCAACTGTTTACTAAACTTGCACGATCCGCGCGCTAGACTCAAATCTTGCCCACTCCCATGTGCACGCTTATATACGCGCTATTTTTAAACCTTGATGTCATTTATAATGAACGCAATTGGAACAAACTTACGTCAGGCCAGCTGCGATTGGTCGAGAGCCGTAAGCATAAAGTCACGAATTTAAGATCTAGCAACCCGCGAATGTACAAGACCCACCGTTTAAACTTACAGAACGAAAACAAATCACTGTTCAATTTTTTTTGTGCGCGTTTTATTTGCAAACACACCTCCTTCGATTCGCAATCGCCTTGAAAATTAATCCGACCTGCCATTTTTGACAGTAACTTATCCGGATATAGATTAGGCGCGCGCTTCTAACTAAAGATTACCCACCGCAAACCGCTAGTTTCTTCGGTAAAAAAAATCGTTCGAGGAATTTCATTCAGTTATCTAACGCGCTGCAGTTTGCAAAAAAAGAAACATTAGCCCGATGGTCCGGTTTTGGAGCCGGTAATCGCGCTTTGTATTAAATAAATGTGCAAAGTGTCGGTTTCGTAGAGGACCAGAATAATTAATAAATGCCGCGATTAGATGGACGACTCGCGAGCGTAGAGCGTCGCACCGGAAACCCGCCGTTGCGTGCGTTATCTAATAGTCGTGGGTTAGATAGCATACTTTATCGTTCGAAAATTACTGCTACCTGCAAGCGAGAAATAATTACTCAGATGAAGAGGTGTAAATTTTTGTGCACACTATGCAACATTTTTGTATAATTTGATGTTGATAACTCCCACTGCTTGAAAAGCTACTTGCTTAATTGCAAGTGTAATGCTAATGACATTCCAACTTTGATTTTAAACACTGAACATTGAAATTTTGAAAATTCGCGTGTTACACCACGTACACTTTGTTCCGACATTTCTTTGAAATTGTAGCCATAGATGCGTTGTTGTCTGTGCTTCGAGTAAAGAAAAACATAGCGCACATGACTGGCCTTTTCAGAAGCACTTGCAATATGCAATGAAATTTTTGAATTTTGAAAATTGAATTGAAAATTTTGAAATTTTTCTTGTAAATTTATGTAAAAGTGCGACACGGCATTATTTTTCTTTTTGTTCCTCTATCTCATTCCGTAAAAATCCAATATGGCGACCATAAGGATAAGAAGCCTGGGGTTTCTATATCTAGCGTGCTATGGAAATTCTGATAACAGATTCAGATTCTCCGAAAAAAAATGCCCATCGAAAGTGCTAATGGGAACTGTCAATTTCCGTTTAAGGTAGTGAAATTGAAAACGAAATTTGACATTTTCAGTTTTTCGATGATATCCGAGATGATATCTCATGTTCAAAGAATTTAGGAAAATTTCAAAAATGTTTTTTTAGTCACAACTTTACCCCCATTTAACATACACTGTATCTCGATTGATGTATTGTTCCATCGTTCTTTAAACGTGTTGTATGATGAGGATTGGGAATTAAAGAAAGTCTTTTTTAAACACGTTTTTTTATTACTATTGCGAAGATCCAAATGGTGAGCCACGAATTTGACCCACCCTGTACAGAGATATCCACTTTGTGTTTCCAATTGAAATTGAGGGAGATTTACAAATAGTTTGCCTAAAATTGATTCATTTCTGAAACTCCAAAAATGGGCATTAAATAGTTATTTATTATATAAGTCGATAAAGAGATATTTCAACCATCGAGGGAAAGATTCACGAGATGGTTAGTTTTCCTTTATCGTCGTGTATAATACAACGCCTTATTTTATAACAGAAGCCATATAAAACATTGTGAAGCTTCTGACAATTCTGAATTTAGTTTAGACCTTAAAAATAGTAAACAGGTTCCGGCGTCGCGATCGTTTCCATAGAAACAGCATTGTCATATGTTCAGAACGTCTTTTTATATCGTGCGCCACGTCCCATTTGAAATAAGAATGACAGATGTCATTAGAATGCATAATCATCTGCTTACACTTTAACCCTTGCGGATAAAGTGATCACTTTACCTACCCTCACGGTTAAAGAGCGACTTAGCCTACTCATTCAAACCTATTAAAATGTCAATGTAACATATATTCTATAAATAAAAAAAATTATCAAAGTCCTCGTTTGAGATCGAAGGGACTTCAGCGCATTTTTGTGTGGCAGATCAGTATTCTATTAGCCACTTTCGATTCAACCATCAATAACAGATTTTGTCGAAGGCTACTACATTCACTAACCGCTTCCCACTTTCCTCGTGCACCCGCAATTCGCTTTTAAAGATTTGACTCCACCATCAGGAAGATCGTGTCGGGGGCTACCCCATTCCCTTTGACGGTACCCACTTCCGACGTTCGGTTCACCCGCAATTCGCGTTTGAAGATTTGACTCCACCATCAGGAAGATCGTGTCGGGGGCTACCACATTTCCTTTGACGGTACCCCCTGCCGACGTCCCGTTCGCCCGCAATTCGCGATTGAAGATTTGACACCACCATCAGTGAGATCGTGTCGCGGGCTACCACATTCCCTTTTACGGTACCCACTTCCGACGTCCCGTTCAACCGCAATTCGCGTTTGAAGATTTGACTCCACCATCAGGAAGATCGTGTCGGGGGCTACCACATTCCCTTTGACGGTACCCCCTTCCGACGTCCCGTTTACCCGCAATTCGCGTTTGAAGATTTGACTCCACCATCAGTGAGATCGTGTCGCGGGCTACCACATTCCCTTTTACGGTACCCACTTCCGACGTCCCGTTCCCCCGCAATTCGCGTTTGAAGATTTGACTCCACCATCAGGAAGATCGTGTCGGGGGCTACCACATTTCCTTTGACGGTACCCCCTTCCGACGTCCCGTTCACCCGCAATTCGCGATTGAAGATTTCACTCCACCATCAGTGAGATCGTGTCGCGGGCTACCACATTCCCTTTTACGGTACCCACTTCCGACGTCCCGTTCACCCGCAATTCGCGTTTGAAGATTTGACTCCACCATCAGAAAGATCGTGTCGGGGGCTACCACATTCCCTTTGACGGTACCTCCTTCCGACGTCCCGTTCACCAGCAATTCGCGTTTGAAGATTTGACTCCACCATCAGGAAGATCGTGTCGGGGGCTACCACATTCCCGTTGACGGTACCCCCTTCCGACGTCCCGTTCACTCGCAATTCGCGTTTGAAGATTTGACTCCACCATCAGTGAGATCGTGTCGCGGGCTACCACATTCTCTTTTACGGTACCCACTACCGACGTCCCGTTCACTCGCAATTCACTTCTATTGGCGACACGAGAAAGAGAGACAGCGATTCGAGATTCACGAAACGTTAAACCGCTTGAGTTCGCAACGGAAGGTAAAAGGCGCCTGACTACTTCTCGAAGACGCGCGCGCCGCCTCGCAAAAGGTCGTTAATTTCGCCCCTATGACAAAAAAACAAAATTCCGCCACGCAGGAGTTGTGCGCGTTTACAACATCTTTCCGACGACACCAATTTCAAAAGAATCGGGCCAAAACTGTAGTAGAAGATAGGAAAAAACTGAAAAACCTTCACGTTAGTATACTACGCTCGAGGATGACGCCCAGATGTCGCCAACCCCACATCATGTAGCCATGTTCCTAAGGTTGACAAATTTCACGGCCCTGTAGATACACGTACACCCGTTGCCTTTCTACAAGAGTTCTTCTACGCGCCCACATTTGCTGCCAGCCAGCCAGCCAGCCAGCCAAAGTGAGATTAAAAGCTACTTTTTACAAAAAAAATTTTTTGCAAAAATGCGCTAAAAATTATTCAATGACCTACCCTTCTCGCGTAAATTTCCGGAGAAATCACTAACGTTCGGCAAAGAAAGAGGATCTTTCATTCTCAGCGAAGAAATCTATTTAAAGATAAACAATTTGACGGGACTGATTGCTTGTACCTACTCCTGAGCCTAAAGTAGGATTTTTTTGAGCCAATGCATGAATGAAAGCACCTAGCTTGCTTAGTCGCCCACATTATTATGTATTTATTATTAGATCGTTCTGTAAGCACAATGTAAATACATACATTTTTAAATTACAACTCAGCAAAATAAAAACAGAAAGACCCGGTTGTAAAAATACACCTTCGACTTTAAAGCTTTACTTTAGCACGTAAGTATTTGCTTACACCTTACAGCATGAGTACGAAGTACATAAATTATGTAACATAATTACATTATGTATGTGTCCTATGTATCATATCAAATTCCGTATAGCATGCTTTTGCTCTCATCCATACTTTTCGTAATGGCATTGTATTTATTATAAATACTTACAATGGTAATGGATAAAATTTAATGGACTGATCTATATCGGAAAAACGTTAACACATTTTACTGTTAACTTAATTAAAGTTAATACGTTAAATCATATGTGAACTGAAATATGAAGGGTAACCTAAAACATTCTCCCACTCTCCCTGTAGGACAGAAACTAAGATATCAAAATTTGAAATCTGATTCTTTTACTTCGTCAAAAAGTAGCGGAAGACGCATCAACGGTAACGTAGGAAACGGAATGTGATATCAAGCGGCGATTTTCACTTGTTTCCCTTTGATTATCTTCACCACAAAATCTCCAACAAAAATTATTAAAAATGAAAAATTACTGAATATCTAGAGCTAGATCAACTGATTTCTTCTTATGGGGGTCATTCGAAGTTGATTAAAAATTCACTAAAAATCATGCCTTAGGTGAATATACTGTTCAATTTGGACATTTGTTTTGGATTTGTTAATAGCTTTTATTTGATGTGTCGCTCAAGTGCTATTTATAAGATTTCAACGCTGGATGATTTGGCGATAGTGAACAGATGGAAATAAATCAAAAATGTAATATAGGTAACTATAGTTACCCAAAATCGTCCTGAAACTTTCATTTTCATGCTTACTTTCTGTCAGGAAATTTTAGTTTCCATGACAGAGGCAGAGCAGATTACGTTTCCTGCCGTTTGTCACTTTACTGGCCGCACCTGTCACTTTACCGGCCGCACCGTCACTGACAGATTGACATTAATCAAAAGTTATATATAAATATTGAAATTTTGTATTAAA